ATGAAGATACAGAAGATAGCAAATCAACAGTAAGGAAATGGAACATCAGAAATTACTAGAAAATAAAACAAGAAAAAATGAGGTATGCTACTGTGTAAATCTATGGCTAGCTTACACACTGAATAGCCTGTGCATTTCACAATCTTAAATGCTAACAAAGCTTGGGAAAAGACAGACAAATCTGACCAGATGTATGAACTACTTCTGCACACAACTGTTCAACTGTTCAACTGTTTGTTGAACAGACTAAGACTGTTTAGCCTGGAAAGAGTACGGCAGAAGATCACTAACAGCATCAAGAAGATAATAATGATCATGGCTGCTCTCAGACTCAAGCACTTGCAATCAACATGGAAAATTAGGAAGTAGGAGTTTCAAAATGAAAGTTTAGTTTTATTTTATCAAACTTCTAAATTTTCACTGTGCATTAATTATTCTAAAAATTCAAGTGGGTTCAAAAAATAATGAAGAAATTCAGACCAAAAACTCATGCATTAAATGTTAAGTCATCAGTTTTGGCTAAATCACAAATCATCAAATACGGACCGTGGTGAAGAACTGGAACAGGCTGCCCAGAGCAGCTGAGGATGCGCATGCACTGGAAGTGCTCAGGCTCAGGCTACAGGGCCCTTTGGGTAACCTGATCCAGGGGGTGTACCTGTCCAGTCCAGGAGTGTTGGAATTGGATAGGCTTTAAGGTCCCTTCCCACCCTACCATTCTGTAATAGTAATATCCTATTGAGAAGTATCACTCTATGTCTACTTGTAGCTTCCTTCCTTAAACATCTACTGGTGGCAACAAGATACTGTGCTAGGTGGGACTGCAGCAGTTCCCATGACAGTACATTAAGTGGTTTGGCACTTCCACACACTATATATATATTATATATAGGTATATATATAGGTATATATACCTATTGGCATACTACCTGGGACACTCTCAGCACAAAGTATGAAGTATGGACATTAAGGAGGTTTCATGTTAGTTATTTTGTGATTAATCACTCTTCAGAAGCAGAATTGATAAAAACTTGATGTTCTCCCAGTTCAGAAATAGAAGGAACAAAAGGCATCCCTTACCAAATTCTTTTCACCACTACTGTAGTAAAATTTTTTTTTGAAATAGTGGTTTTAACGATCAGTACATTCTTTCAAAATATGAACATTTTTAACAAACAAACAAAAAAAAAAGCAAACAACTCCTGCCAACTCATTTAACATGAAGTTTTTTGGTTTTTTTGACTCCTCATATGAAATAGCAGGGTTTTCTCTTCCAGCTATTATTTTGCCATGTTGTATCACTGCCATATAAATTCAAAGGGCACAAAGCACTTACATTAACAACTAACAGTCCATGCAGGTGAAGTAGTTAAAAACTAGAACCACGTAAGAATCTACCTTACAAAAGTTACTACCTTTGAACACAAGCTAACTGCATTCACAAGCTAAAACAATTATTTTGCTTTTTATTAATTCAACAAAGACTTTTTGTAGTACGTTGTTAAAAGTCGCATGAAATCAAAAAAGCATTTTTGTCTGCCCAATGTCTGTCTTAATCAGTTTTTTCTCAAGCAGGAATATGCCATTGAATAGATAGAGCATTAACCACATTCCACAGTGACAACGCAATATACAAGAAATATCCTCCTGTACCGGAATCAAATTATCATCTTGCTGACACCAGGAAACCTCTTGTGCAGCATCATGAAGTTTACCTTTAGAAGAAAAAAATCTTAGACTTTTTCAATTACTTCGAGTGGCCATATTTTTTCAGTTTTATGACAGGGCATTTGTTAATACAGGAACATACAGTCCAATTGATGAAGTTTCCTCATGGTTTTAAGGTACTCTTTTTAGAAACTCAATTTGTCTTAAATTGGTTGAATTTGTACTTCAGAGTTCAGGGTTTCTCATCCTTGAAGAGCAATCATCATCTTTCCTGTATGAGCCTTAAAGACCTATAAAACCACAGCTGAAAACTACTGTCTGTCCTACTGATGAAAAACTAAGGAAATACCCTTCATGGTTGAGGTATTGTTATACAGCATGCTTGTGGTATTGTTATATAGCATGCTTGCATGTATGTATTTTACTCTAACAACTATGGATTTCTGATTATAACATTGCTTTTCAATAGTATTTCAATATATTTTCATTATTTTTCAGTAAGTTTAAGGCTGTCTTTCTTAAGCTGTGGTAGATATTCTTTCAGAGAGCTTCTAAGGGAGCCGGTAAGGACAGAGTGAAAGTCTGAGCTAGCTAGCTTACAGAGCAAGAATCAATGCAAGCCAAATCACAGTAGCGCTTTACCCAGTATATCTGGGATAGAACACATGAATAATCAAGTTTTCTTGCAAAGGACAGCATAGGTAAGATAGCAAGAGAAATTTTCTATATCAAGACAATTGTGATCCAAGTTGAACTTTCTGCCCTCTTAGGAACAATACTGTAAAAAGTATGTATCGGTATAAAGGACTTCTGCAAACTCTACTCCCTCCTAAAAAACAAGGGCTGCTCTGAAAGTAATATTTCCCACTGTATTATGTTGGCCCACGGTATGAGAGGAAGATGCTGATGATGCGGCTGTAGAGACTGAACCTTTCCACAAATATTCTGTTCCATTCTGTATGACAGATGGCAATGGAGGGGCAGCCTGACAAAATGGAGCCTGACAAGGAAGCGCAGTTGAGTCAAAGGGTTATTATTGAATTCCTCCATGTGGAGAAAACCGCATCAATTGACATTCATCAATACTTGCTGAGCATTTATGGAAACTGAACAGTGGATGTCTGCACAGTGATGTGGTATGCTTCAGCAGTGGTGGCAGAAGGTCACCTCTGCCGGTGCAGATTTTTTAATAAACGCAACATGCAGACTCTTGTTCATTGCTGGCAAAAATGATAATGCTGATTATGCTGGAAACTAGTGTATTGTAGCTGAGAATTTGCTCTATCAAATAGCGTTATTGTACTCTTTGTAGTTTCCATACAAGTAAATAGGAGGCATTACTTTTGGAGTTACCGACATAATCTTCACTGTATTTACTTTCACAGTGAATACTTAGATTACTTATTTAAAGTGTAACAAGTTTAACGTATAAACCACAAATCTGAGATCTGCGTATAAAAATATTTCTAAAAACCTTTTGTTTATGGAAAAGCTTTTATGATCAGTTGACAAGAATCTAATATTTCAAACATCTAACTGAAAATATATCAAAATAAAGTGAAATCTTTTCCTTGAGCTAATTAAAATTCCACACATTTAATAACTGTTGGCAAAAAGCTTTGGCTTATTCTCACACTAAACCACATTTAAGATCCCACTCTACAAAGCACAGTAACTCAAAACTTCTAATTTCACTATCAAAAAAGATGTCAAGCACCTCGTAGAACTAAGTAGAATGCTTTTTATTTCAAAAAGTAACTTACTTCAATAGCTTTATGTATGTAAGCTCTAGATGAAATATACAAGATTGAAATGTAACACAAGTACAAAGATTTGCATAAAATGTGTTTATGCTGCAACAACACACAAAGTGATGTGCAAAGTACAGGATTTCCCATTGTACTTGTCTGACCATATTCCACCTGGATTATTTACCAAGTTACCTTTTCAATATTTTATCTAATTAAAGATGTTTAGACACTTGGCTATTTTTCTAGGCATGCTGTCTTTGGAAGAGATATGGGAAGAAGATAATAAAGATTGTAGTGAAGGAAGATAGTAAAATAAAATTTTATGTAAGAAATGAGACAGTTTGAGAAGCATAACTTTTACTACAGCTTTGCCATATATTAGTGGAAGGCAAGTGTTCAGATCCACTAAGGTATGCAAGCATACAGAGATTACAGGGTTAGAAAGGTTCTCAAAGCAAGTCTATGAATCTAAGTTACTGCTTAAAAGTAACTTTTTCCAGTAAAAGCTATTTTAAAGTCATTCATAGAATCACAGAACAGCTTGGAGTGGAAGAAACATCAAAGATGATTTGACTTCCAACCTCCCTGCCACAGGCAGGGTTGCCAACTGCTAGATCAAGCGCGAGTTCAGATTGACGAGGGTCCCATCAAACCTGGCCTGGAACCTCCTCTCCAGGCATGGGGCATCCACAACCTCTCTGGGCAGCCTGTATCAATACCAGAACCTCACCATTCTCTCAGCGGAAAATTTGCTCCTGACATCTCATCTAAACCTTCCCTCCTTGAGTTTAAAATCATTTCCTCTTGATGTTATTTCATAACTGGCTTGCAGGTGGTCACTCATGAAGTTGAACATCTGAACACATTCAATAGATGAAGTTCCTGGGGAGTCTGCGACATAGAAAGCTGCAAGTGTTCAGTTTTCTATGCTACTGGAACAGAAACATTTAAGGCAACTCAGTCTTTCTAAACCAGCAACTTATTTGTTCACACAATACTGCTGAAGCAGGAAGTTGTAAATTTACAGTGAGTGATAAAGTGCATGATTTCTAAAAGGTATAAAATCTTGGTATTTATGATATGTTTAAGACTGATTCACTTGTTAGATGGGTAATAATATCCCATAATTTCTAAGAGGTTTTTGTGTCAGTGTGAGCTTTTGAAGGGAACACTTATTGTAGAGATCACATACATCGATTGCAATACTTCTTGTATTTTGAGATAATGCTCTCAATTAAAAAGGAAGATGTACAATTACAAAGTCTCGCCTTGGGAAGATGTTCTTTACTCCAGCATCAATCCAAATGAAAATTAATTTCTCACTCCTTTGTGAAAAAGCACAGCCTCATTCTGAGACATTCTACATACTACATTGAACATTGGATGAGTTATTTTATTCTAACTCATGAGAGGAAACATGACAATTAGTTTTTGTGGAAGAAACTTGAAATGTTCATTTACCTTTGCCAATTATAGTAAAGGAGAAACATAGGAAGTACAGAAAGACCATCTTGGAGGAATAAAATAAGCACATAAAGCGTAACTTAAACTAATTTATGCAAGTGAGTGAAATAACACTACCTTTGATGAGACTATTCTGTTATCTGGAAATCTCTGAGGAATGTATGCTTCAGTGCCTGGAGGTGGTTCACGATGCCCAACATAAATAGTCCGACTGTCCACCCAATTCTCTTCTCCAGCACACTACGAGAGGGGGAACAAAAAAAAGAAGTCATTATCACTTCACCCAGTATTTCTGCAGTAAGGTGAGTTGCAGATTCAAGTAACTAAACATGCCTAATCAGTACACACACAGCCATCAACATCTGATCCCTTGCATTTCTCTGTATAATCTTAAGACCACTAAAAGACAAGTTTAAGTCAATTCTCAGAACTCCCTATATACACCAAAAACCACTTTTCCTAAAAGAGGAAACATGAAAATTATATTCTGACTTCTTAGTTTTATAACTGAAAAAAGAAGAATGGTAACTCAGCAGTTTATTGGCAAATATCTTTGTTTTAGGAGAGAAGCCCTGTCTTCTCCAAAATACTAGCAATAACAATATTCTGAGATACACAGCAACAGTAGGAAATCTTAGATTGCCAGGAGAGAACTCAGCTTGTCAGCTCAGATTCCTTGTTCTTTATTGAAAGCTGCATCTGCAAGTAGATGAACCAAAGTGAAATGTTCATTGTTGCTTCGTGGAACTCCACTACATTTATATTTTAATTAGTACTTCTACACTATGTATAAAAACATGCAATTTGCTGTAGATAAGCCAATTAATTCTACGGTTTCACTAATTCTCATCCAAGATACGAAAAATACTTCAAGAATAGAATACACTTCTAATATCTTGATCCAGACAGAAAACCAGGCATCCCCCATTTTGAAACTGTCACTAGGTAAAAAGATGAGTAAATTAAATGTTGAAGTATATAACCAATTTGAAATCAAAATCTGTCTTATGCTGTAATTATATATATATATATGGTTTTGGCTGGGATATAGTTAATTTTCTTCACAGTAACTGATACGGTGCTACCTTTTGAATTTGGGATGAAAATAGTGTCAACAGCACAGCTGTGTTTTAGCTGGCACTGAGCAAGGTGGGATACCTCGACTCCAGGACTTTTCAGCTTCCTGTGCTGCCCTGCCAGAGTGCAGCCTAGGGGTGCACAAGGAGCCTGGAGGGGACACAGCCAAGGACAGCTGACTGCAGTTGAACAAAAGCTATTCTACACTGTAAGAACGACATCCTCAGCAATAAAAGTTTGGAGGGAGGGAGTGCAGCAAAGTAGGATTGGGGTGAGATGGACAGGATCAGAGTTATGCTCGAGTAAAAATAAATGTTCTCAAGTAACTGTTATGTGTGATTCAGTTCATTTTCCTGGAAATGGCTGAACATCTACCTGCCAAAGGGAATTAGCAAATTGCTTTACTTGCATGTATAGATTTTGTGCTATTAAAACATCTAAGCTCAACTCATGAGATCTTGCAGTTTTACCTTTCTGATTCTCCTCCCTATCCTGCTGTGGAAGACTGAGCGAGTGACCATGTGGTGCTTAGCTGCCCACTGGGATTAAAGCACAGCAGTAAATTAGATGGAAGCTCCTTTTCTGACACTTTGTATAGTGTAGTAAATACTTCCCAGAAGTGTCCGTGGGCACTGATGCTGTTTGGCAAAGTAACCAAAGTTACCAGAAGCAGTTTAGTAGAAAAGTGGAGCCAAAGCATCACTCCCCAGAACAGCAGCTCTTCTCTTCTAATCAGTCTTATTGGCAATAGCTCTGGGCAGATTTGCTTTACTAGTGCAGATATGGCTGGTAAGTCTAACATTTCATTTTTAAGCTTAACCAAAAACATACACTCACATCTCTTTCATTGCTTCTCTTCTATGTGATCATTCCACTGTTCCATGCACAATACACATGAAGAACAAACTTTCAATATAAATTGTGTAAATTTAAGTATAAAACTCTTTTAATCTCCTGAAAACCTGAAGCAGCACTTTTACAACAGTTACCTATCTGACATGAATGCTATGCGACATGAATGGCTTTCTTTGTGGAAAGAAAAAAAATGCTAAGCAAGAGTATAGGAATAAGAGCTTCAGAACTCAGGCACAGAAGAGCTGACTGGCCATAAAGCAAACTGTAAGGTGAACAGAGAGAAAAACAAGGAGGCTTAAACAAAAAGCAACTTCGGCTGCCCCCCACCTTTATACTTGAACTAGTTAGGGAAAAGCCCTAACTCATACTAATTCTTACTTATCACAGAATCACCTGGGTTGGAAGGGACCTCAAGGATCATGTAGTTCCAACCCCCCTGCCTAGCAGGGCCACCAAACACACACATTCAGATCAGGTTGCCCAGGACCCCGTCCAACCTGGCCTTAAACACATCCAAGGACGGGGCATCCACAACCTCCCTGGGCAGCCCGTTCCAGGGCCTAACCACTCTCCTTGTAAAGAACTTCCCCCTAACATCCAACCTAAATCTTCCCTCCTTCAACTTGGATCCATACTTGTCATCCACTTATGACAGAAAACAAAGCGATTATGTTCAGAAGCTACTGAAAAGTCTGAATTACAGAATTCAGAATAACACTAAAAGACCTTTGCTTTTGTTAGCTCTTTCAATATGCACATTTTATCTAACTCAATAGTTTTGAGGAGTTAGTTAAGCATATATGAATGCAAGTTCATGAAGGAAGGATGGTAGCCCTTCTTAAGATACATCAGAACCCTAGTCATAGCTTGTACTCTTGTATCACTGACTTCAGAGGGTGGGCATATATATTTCACATGCCAGATCCTTGCAATGGGAACCCGAAATTAGGATGTGGGTTATTCTGAAAAGTACACTAATCTTCCAGCCAGACGACTCCCACATCTCTAATTTGCCTTGTCACAATCTCAAAAGCAGACTGCCATTCTAAATGCTCGTACCACTTCTGAAGACTAGCTAATATTCCTACAGCATGTCAAAACATTTTAGAAGCAGTAAAAAAAAACTTTCCACAATCTACCTCGCTTCTGTGCCAAGAGCAAAAATCAGCATCTTCTATCAGTTTATTAGATTATATTTTTACTTTCTCAATACACCTGAACATGCAATGTATGCAAATGATTCAGTGACTCTTGGGACAAGCAGTACTTCTGGAAACATAGGAGTGAGAGATATTCCTAAGAACTAGACCAAATTGTACTGTGTTCATTAATTTTTCATTAAGGATATTCCAGACATCAAAGAAGCACAAAGATTATTGCTAATACACTTAAGTGCTGAGTTCGTAGACAAATGCTTAAAGGGGTAATGGGAATATAATGCATGAATCTTTGAACATCAAGAATAAATCCCTCACTTTCTCCTTCCCTCCACACAGACCATGCCTGACAATTTGTGTCAGCTTGACAAAGATCTTAGTTCAAATATATTTGGGTTTTATTTATTACAATCATTTTTATTTTACAGTGTAACCTGATCATTACTCCAACTTAGTTAAAACAGTCCACTGAGAAATTACTTATCAAGCTAGGAAGCACAAAAGATAGATCTCTTCAAACTGTATCCTGCTGCACTACCATCAGTATGCAAAGGTTTGATACCCTGGTGTATTGTGTTACCGCTGAGACATAGACCAGAATTTGCATCCAAAAAGAAAAGTTCTACAGAATTTACTTTAAACACGGATGTAAAAATCAAGACAAACCCTTCTGTTAGCTTAATTGGACCCACTTTTTATTTTGAAGTGATCAAATCACCACAAAATACAACCACATAGCTTAGATCTCCAAACAATTTTCCATTTCAACATATTGTCCGGAATTGGACAACATACGTGCTTTACACAATTCAACAAGTTGACACAAACTTCAAATCTCTCAAACACTCAAAGGCCATACACAAAATTTTGTGGGAGAGACAATATTATACAGAGTCACAGAATTGTACGAGTTGGAAAGGAGCCCTAGAGATCTCTGAATTCAACCTCCTGCTAAAGCAGGTTCCAGTGCATAAAGCGCTTTATTCAGTAAGATCACAAGTACCTCACTTTCGTGAAGCAGAAAAAGGGAAAACAGTGATGTGTATCACAAAACACACAATCAAGAGAAATCAAGTCGCAGCATTTTAACTTCTAGTAACGCTAACCTATAATACTGAACATTTTGAAGCAAGAATTCTTTTGCTGTTCAGGTAGCTCATATGAGATCATTTGCTGAATGACACCAGGGTAATTAAAAAAAAAAAAGCAATCAGATGCTGCTGTCAGTACAATGAAATATGTTCTTTTCTTTATTATTATTTTAGAGTTCTATTACTTAAGCCCATTAAGGATATGGGGAAGAAATCAAAAATAAATCTTAACATTATCTGCTTCTATTAATAGTATAAAGCTCAGCCTACTGAGACCAAGTTTCATTGGCACATCAATGAAGAAGCATTACTTAGCTTTTATGCTTTCAAGCAAGGTCAGCAACAAAGAAGGCAAAGACCAGCAATAGACTCAGTCATCCTTATGTAATGCTAAACAGAGGTGTTAACAGAATTATACCTTAATACATGTATAAACTGGAAGATGAACACCTAATATTCAGTTCTCTGAATTTAAAAAGAAAAAAATAAAATAAATAAAGCTGAGACTAGCTTAAGATTCACCTTCATACTACTCCCACCTAATTTTTTACAGAAATGCATTATCTGGGGTAAGTATTCAACAGATGACAGTGAAAAGAAGACAGACGCTGGGCTAGCAGTTGTTTGGTGTCTTCCAAGCAGCTCTCTGTGGTTAATTTGAAGATGCTCCTCTAACTTCTCATGGAAAAAAAAAATAAAAATAAAAGCAACATGGTAGAGTACAAATGATTATCCAGTCAATGGTTTTTATTTTAGCACCTTTCAAAGATAATTTTAGCACATAAACTAAAATCAAGCATACCAAGGTTGTCACGACAGTGTGTAGGTGCTGGGAAAGTAACTGACCTTGAAAGATTCCAGGTCTTTCCAAGTATTTTTAGTAAACACATTCAACTTACAGTTTGCTAATCAATGGTAGCACTGAATGACACTTCCTGACTTTCCACTTGAGCTACTAACTTGGGCATAATTGGAAAAATAACCTTGGATTCAAAATTATATTCACTCTTCAAATAAATTAAACACAAACTACTAAAAAAGGTTCATAATGCATTAAGCA